AGGGAACCGGCGTACAGCTTTCGGGTCATGTGGCCAGCATGACTAAGCCACTTCTGGCGAACTAGAGCAGCACATGGAAATGCCGTTTACCTTCCTGCTGGAGTGGTACCTATTTATCTACTTGCTTTCCAACTGCTAGGTTTGGCAGGAGCAGGGACTGAGCAACAGGAGCTCACCCCATCGTGGGGATTCGAACCGCCGACCTTCTGCTCAGCAAGCCCTAGCTCTGCGGTTTAACCCACAGCGCCACTTGCGTCATCAGAGCTTATTCTTAGGTAAATGGGGTTAGGAGTGCAGCCTAAGAAGGGGCGGAATAGAGGTAGGTGGTGTATAGTGTGGAGAACATGGATTGAGACATACACACAGTTACTTCACCCACAATGCAAGAACTCCACAGCGGTAACTTCCATTTTGGGTTCAGCTCCATCATACAGACCCCATTCTCCTTCCCTCCAGAAGAGCTGTCAAACTCTTCCTTTGGTCTCTGTTTTGCTTTGAGCCCCAGTGGAAATTTAGCTGGCATGCTCCAAACTGGCTTCTTCTCCTTTTTAAAGCCACACAGTACAAAACCAGCCAATACTACAGCTTTTTAAGCATCAGCCTTCAATCTTCCTCTGCTCCCAGCAGCCCAAGGCACTGACATCAGCCCCAGAGATACTTTTTGTAAATAGAACAGATGATAAAATAGCCTTTAGGCTTTTAGGATTGCCCCCCCCCCCATTTGTCATGAAAGAACGAAAGAAAGAAAGAAAGAAAGAAAGAAAGAAAGAAAGAAAGAGAGAAAGAAAGACAAGAAAGAAAAGTATTTTATAACCAATTTTCTAAAAGGCACTAAGGCACCAGAGAGCCAAGGGAGATTGAGTTTTTCAAAGTCCTGTTGTGAAAGCGACTGGTGGCTTGAAAGCCCATCTCAAATGTAATTTGCTGGTATAGGGTGGTTACACAATGAGGTGTGTAAATGCTACCCTCCCTACAGAGTTCCCTTCAGCTCTTCTTATGATTATGTGATGTTCCGGGAAAACCAACGCAATGTGGAGCCTGACTCCAAGTCCCAGCTGCTATTTGCACATCAATGCCAGAAAGGGCGGGCAGACAATTCTTATCAGATCTTTAAAACTTCCCATTTCCCATTTCTTTCTTTCTTTCCTTAAAAAAAAAAAACCCCACTGTTGCAAGTCTTATTTTCATTATTGAGAATTTTGCTACTGAAGATTGGCGTGCATCCCAAGGCAATTTCTAATGCCAATTTGCCATATGATTGTAGGTGAGTGAGTTTGTGTCACACACTCAGAAGATTATCCCCCATGGTTGTTGAATTTGTCCTTCATAAACTCTTGGAACTGAATCACACAACAAGTTTTATTTATTTATTTCATGAGATGAGGCAATACAATTCAGGTGGGTGGGAAATGGAAGAGAGAATTACATTTAACCAAATTCTCATTGTTAGGACTTGTTAGGAGCATAAGAAGAGCCCCACTGGAGCAATCCAAAGGAGCACCTAGTCCAACATCTGGTTCTCATGGTTGTCAGCCTGATGCCCACATGCAGCACCCCAAGCAAAACCTGAGTACAATGGTGCTTTCTCTCCACTTGGGAATGGAAGCAGAGGTGCACTTGTCTGAGTATTTGTTTGGGTGAGGGGAGGCAGAGGAACAAATATGTGGCAATCACATCAATTTCAGACCAATTTAAATTTTATGTTTGAGATGTGCCTTCAGGTTCTCCATTCTCCTATGCCTAAGAATGGACAATTCTGCATTTTGATTTCTCTCTATTACTAATTTTTCCAAGTTCCCCATTTCTGCACCATTTTGTGGCTTTTGAAAAAGGTGCACTGTCCACAAGAAAATTCACAGGCCTTTTCATGCATGATTCTCCTAATATATGCATTTTGTATGCAATTTTGCCTTATATAAACATATTTGCATGCAATTTCCTTGAATATACAGTGGTACCTCGGGTTACATACGCTTCAGGTTACATACGCTTCAGGTTACAGACTCCGCTGACCCAGAAACAGTGCTTCAGGTTAAGAACTTTGCCTCAGGATGAGAACAGAAATTGTGCTCCAGCGGCACGGCGGCAGCAGGAGGCCCTATTAGCTAAAGTGGTGCTTCAGGTTAAGAACAGTTTCAGGTTAAGTACGGACCTCCGGAATGAATTAAGTACTTAACCTGAGGTACCACTGTATGTGCTTTTCTAGGCATTTGTAAAAAGAAATAAACTGGAGAACTACATCACAAAATTCAGTGAAGTGTGAATTTTAAATAGGAGATGGTTTACATATTAGTTTGAGAAGAAAAATGTCAGCTTCACAATATCAGTTTCACAATGAAAACTATCAGCAATAAAAACAGACCATTTCATAAATAAAAACACGTACAAAGTTTTTTGAAAAAACAGCAGCAGCAACAACACTTGCATGTTTATCTTCAAGGTTTATTTGTTGTTGCGGCCATCATGGTTATTTCAGCTATCACAACAAAGAAATATACATCCTATCCATACTATACAGAATGCACACAGATAAACCATTAAAAGACAGTATTAGCCAATTTATACATACAGTCGTACCTCAGAAGTCGACAGAATCTGTTCTGGAAGTCTGTTCAACTTTCAAAACATTCAACTTCCAAAGCGCAGCTTCTGATTTGCTGCAGGAAACTCCTGCATCCAATTGGAAGCCGTGGAAGCCCCGTCGGACTTCTGGCTTCCAAAAGAACATTCAAAAACTGAAACACTCACTTCTGGTTTTCAATCATTCAGAAGTCCCAAGTCATTCGGGAGCCAAGGTACAACTGTATATATTTGCCAAAAAAACCTAGGGAACACTGCTGGCCTATAGAGGAACATAAAGTAGAAAGGTCTCCTGCTTTAAATACCTGGGTATAGTCTTTAATGCCTCAGGAAGCAGGAAAGTGCATGGGGACTATGTTACTAACAAGGCTCAGAGGAGCTCATTGGCTATACAAAAATTGTATAGATCCAAAGAAGGCTATTATATACCAGCAGCATTTGAAAGAGCCCAACTCTTATATGGTGCCCAGCTACGTAGGTTTCTTTCCAAATTTGGCATCGCTGGAGTGCATACAATCTAATGTTAGGTCCCTAGAGGTGTCATCAATGCCATCTTGGGGCTGGAGGCAGGTCTCTTGAGCATAGAGGCCAGAGTATAGAAGTTTATTCTCAACTATTGACTAAGATTATGGTTTTGTTTTCCTACTGAGCTTCCTCCCCTTGTTCTCAAGGATGAATTCCAATCTGCATGGTATCAAACAGTTATGACCAAAATTCTAGCTCTGGGCTTTTTCCTTTGAGTATCTGTTCAGAATGAGCTTTGAGCAGGCTAAATCAGCCATCAAACAGCATATCACAGACACAGAAAGCCAAATGGATTGGGATAGGCCCGTCTTCTTTATTGTCAGTGATTACAGTAGGTATCTTTGAACTCCTAAGGAGTATTTAAGCAATCTGGATCTGCCTAAACATCATAGGGCATTCACCCTGGCTCGATACAGTGCTCTCCCCTCTGCTGTTCTTGAAGGTCACTATAGAAACATCCCCTATTTTGAGAGATGCTGTCCCTGTGACTCTGGCCAAATTGAAATTGTAGAACACGTGCGTCTCCAGTGCTTGTTTTACAGAGATTTATGCTCTGACTTTATCTTGCCTATACGTCAGAAATAAACTGAGAGTTATGAACAGTTTCTTGCCACTCTGCTACTCCTAAATAATAATCCCAGTATAATATACAAGGTGGATAATTTTGTGCAGCAGCAATTAAAATATGACATATAATGACTAGCACCTAGGAGTAGTATAATCCAGTGTTTCTCAACCTTTTTCTGACCGTGGCCCCCTTCTGACCTTGTTTCCTTCCTGTGGCCCCTCTGTCCTACCAGTAGAAAGGTAGCTATTTTGTTTGTAAATAGAACATGTCTTATTTATAATTTTTATAATTATATAAATTATATAATTTCACCTGTGGCCCCTTGAAATATCCCATTTGAGGAAACACTGGTATAATATACTGACAGATGGTCATCCCTAGGTCAGAAGGGTTCCCTTCTGACATGTAAATGAACAACTAGAACTGCTTTTTAATGTATATGTGATTTTAAACTTTTTTAATTGTGTTCTGAGCTTTTAAATTTTGCAAAATGGCAAAATGGACTAATTTCTCCCCCATCTCTAGTTGTGCCTGCATTTTAGTCCTGCACCATCACTCAGCCTTCTCCCATCTTGTTTATCATCGAGCTGATTGGCCTAATGGCAGGATTCTTACCACCGCTTTAACTCAAATGAACTCTCCAATGAACTACCCTAAATAATTCTGCCTCCATCTTTCATGCTGACACCCTCCAAGTATTTACAGGAGATTATAAAACCACCTCTTTAGTCATTCTTTATCTGAGTGGTGTATAATTAGTTCCTTTAATCCTTCCACATAGGTCAACCCCTTCTCTAAGCCCTTAAATCATTTTTATCACCTTTTCCTGGATCCATTCCAGTGGACTGGTGACTCCCCACCACTCTCTATTTTTCTCATCTGCCCATCTTCCTAAGACATGCAGAGTCACACTTTTCAAACCAGTTACATGAATCAAAACAAAGCTATCCTTTGGAATTTGCATTTCTATGCATTTTATGATACAGTTCACGAATCAACGTGTACAAAAATGTGCACAAAATGTGTAGGTTAGTGAAGTTAACATACATATTAGGGGAAGATGTGTGCTTGCCAAAATAGTATACATAAATGTGTATTTTCAGAGGAAATTCAAACTAAAATGCTGGTGAATATTCATGAGGATTTTCTTTGAAAATTGCTGAGGAAATGTGGACTGAATTTAAAATTGGGAGAAAAATAAGAAGCTGAGAGTAATCAAAACTGGCATATACATCTATCCCTGCTCAGAAACTAGGGAGCTACGAAACAGAATTGGATGGAAAGGACCCAGAAGAAGCAGAGGTATACAAGTTGCCTCCTATACTGTACACAGAATGGAACTTTGGCTCTGTTAGTAGAGCATGAGACTGTTAATCTCAGGGTCATAGGTTTGAACCCCATTCTGGGCAAAATATTCCTGCATTACAGGGGATTGGACTACATTACCCTTGTGATTCCTTCCAGCTCTAGAGTTATATGATTCTGTGATTCTAGGTCCCCAAGAAACACTGGAGCCAGAAAAGGAAACCAAGCCCTGGATCCCAGGGAGGGGCCAAGTAGGTTGTCAGGGGGAAAGAACTACTTCAATGTTACTGGGCATTTCCAGTCATGCCTCTCCTGCAGTGGGGCAGCCCTCCAGCTAGCAAGCCTCCACCCTTGGGGTGGGGGAATTGCCCAATGACAAGCTAGGTGTTGTTGGCCCTGTCTTCCACACCATGCCTTAGGTCATGTAGATGCCAGCACTAGGGTGAACAGACCACTCATACAATGCAGGAGCTCCTCACTTGCCTCATTAAAGCCGTGTCTGCCCTGCTCTACAAAAGGAAGAAGCAGAGAGCATGTCACTTGGATCAGCATCTTAGTTTGCACCCAGCCATGCAATTCACCTGCTGCACCTTTTAAATTTGCCTTTCTGATCTACTGCACTGATTTAAGCATTTAAGATTTTGGCAAAACCTGAAATCTGAGTTCATTCTTCATCAAGTGAGAGTTAGGCCAGGGCAAACAAAGGAGAATAGCTGGTGAGTTGAGGAGGAGGAAGAGTCAGAAAGCTTCCACTGCTGACCAGTATCTGCTGCCTGAGGTGGCCACCTCACTATCCCTAATAGTAGAGCTGAATCAGGACCACTCACTTTTCTCTCCATTCTGCACCTTTTCACTTTGGATAGCTTTAGATAGCTCAAGTGCCAAGGACTTTAGGGTTGCCATATGTCCAGGAATTCCGAACATGTCCTCTTTTTGGGGTACTACATGCCACCCCGGGGATAATTTTACATTTGAAAGCAAATGTCCTGGATTCTGGAGTTGTTGGGTTTTTTTAAGTGTGCAGGTGGCTCTGGTTCAGGCTCTGGAATGGGTGGCCCAAGCTCTGTCTCTGACTCTGACTGGTGTGGGCAGCCTGGGCTTGGGCTCTGGCTCTGGTGTGGATGGCTTGGGCTTGGGCAGCTCAGGCTCGGCAGTGGCGGAGAGGCTATTGGGCGATTGTCCTAAAAAAGTTCAGCAACTTTTTGCGTCCGGATTTTTACCTTTTGAAATATAGCAACACTAAGTGACTTTAGCTGCTGCTTTCAGTTCTCTCAGTTTCTAATTCTTCCAATCTTAAATTCTGCACACTTTTGCAGTCATCTGCATATTTTTAAAAAAATCCTTGTGAAAATTCACCAGCATCTTAGTGTGAATCTCTATAAATAAACACAATTTTGTGCTCAGTTTTGGCTAATGTATACATTTTTGGAATAAAATTTCCCTAACATATTGCAGTTTCGTTCATTATTTTCACTAATGTCATCTTTTTATGCACATTTTCTCGCACACATGCATTTGTGTAAAACGTTCAGTTGGAAAACTGCAATGGAAAATACAGCTAAAAGTTAATTTCAAAGGATAAATGTGTTTTGGTTTTGCATATTGTTTCTGAAAGTCTGAACTGAATAGATTTGGCTTTTAAAGCATCCTGAATCCAATTTCTCCTCCACCCCTAGAAGCAAACATTGCATAATCCATAGGTGCTAGCTCCCTGGGGCCCTGGGGCCCTATAAAATTCCCCATGAACAGGCCGGGTACCCACAAATTTTGGTTCCAGGGTCATGCACTGCATAGCACCTACGGTCCTGTGGGGCCAAGCTGGCACTCCTGACATACTCCCTCCTCCCATTCTGATGATGCATATCCTCATGTATCTCATATGACTATATCAGTCCCATTAAGCCAGGGAATGAGAACCTGTGGCTGTTCATGCTTCGACTCCAACACCCATCAGTCCCACCTGGCATGACCACTGTAAAGGGATGACGGGAGCTACAGTCCAACAACATCTGGTGTGCAAGAGATTTTCCAGCATCTGCCTTAAGCCAGCCAGAACTTGGCTTATTATAACCTGTCCCTACCTCACCCCATTGCCCAATGTTACAGAGATTACTAATTTCATTTGAAGCTCTTCTCTTCCTACAACTTTTCCATATTTGGGCAGCAAACATTTTAGAGAGCCATGATACTTTAGAGGGAAGGAAAGTAAAGTTCAACAATGTTAAGGAGTAGTTAATGCAGAGTAAACTGCAGTGAAAAGATGCCTCTTTTCATGAGAAAATTTGATGTTGCAAGAAAAGAGTAAATACCTGTTACATTTGTATTTTATTACCATAGTTACAGGACCTGTGGCTGTCATTTCCAATACTCTGTGATAATGATGGCTGTTGTGATGATGGGGGCCAGGGCTGGCAAAGACTTGGGGCAGGCAACTGATTTCCCCTAAGTATCCTCTGGGGCAAATATTGCAGAGACAATTTCTATTAAACCACAAAAATACTACAGTTTAAACAAACAAACAAACGAATGAATGAATAAACAAATTAATGAATGAATGCAAATAATTGCCTAAAAAATCGCTATATCTTGAGAGATGAAGTTTTTTTAACCTTTTGCTGCTTCTCACTCTGCCCCCAACCAAAAACCCATTTGAAGAGGAGGAAAATCAATAAGCACATGAATAAGTTCACACACACACAGGCTTTATTGCGGTCCATAAATAAATGGTTGGAGTTACTAGGGAAACTAGAGACAACCTGCAAAAGTAATTTGGGAGAAGTTAGAATGTGTGTGCATTTCTTAAAATAATAATTATTATAATTATAATCATTATAATAGAGCAAGCTTATTTTCTGCTGCCTCAGAAGGTAGGACCTGAACCAATGGATTGCTTAACAATGGAGCGGACTACCTCAGAAGATTGTAGACTCCTTTGTTGGAGGTTTTCAGACAGAGTCTGGATGTCAGGGGTTCTCTGGCTGTGCTCCTCTACAGTTCTATGATTCTATTATTCTACTGTTGTTAATCTTATATTGGACTTTTTGCAAACATCTTCCATTTAGTCCAGCCCCTCTTTAATCAGGTCTGAAGAAGCTTGATTGTAGGATTGGATTTTTAGGGGAGTAGAGTTTCTCACCTGCTTTGCTTGCAAACTGGGAGGTGCTGTTTTCCTCCAACTCAAAGAATGCAGCTCTACTCGCTGACAGCACACCGAGCATTTCTGCTGCACAAACCTTTCCCAATGAACAAGAACAGAGGGAGAGAGAAATCCCTGCCAGGCATGCAAGCTTTTACAATGCTCAAGGTGACTTGAACATGATTGCCATAGCCCAATCTGACTGCTTCCAAATCAGCCTAAAGGAACAGTAATGGACTGCATGAGAATTAACGAAGAGATACTCAATCCAAAGGTCATTTTCATGACCCAGGCACGTTGCTTTCTGCCTACTTGGCAGATGCAGACTAGACAAAATGTCACATAAGAAGAACCCTGTTGAGTAAGCCCAGGTGCCCATCCAGTTCAACATCCTGTTCTCACACTGGCCTACAAGATGCCCCTGGAAAACCCACAAGTGGGACCTTGCGATTTCTAGCAATTGGTATTCAGAGGCACACTGCCTCCCACAGTTGAGGTAGAACATAGCCATTGATAGCATTACCCTCCATCCATGAATTGTGTAATCCTTTTTTAAAGCCACCCAAGTTGTTGGTCATCACTGCATCTTGTGGGAGTGTATTTTTACAAAATAATGTGGCTTGAGTAACCCCTGAAAACTATTAATCAAGCTTCATATCCTTCCTGGCAGATAATCCTTTTATGTTTCCATTTTAACTACCGAACCAGTCTCTTTCTTTGATTGTTTCACATTGTTGCATTTTAATAAATGACAAGTTTATAAATGTAGTGTGCTTTTGCTCCAGAAAGGATAGGCAGATTACTTAATAATTGGGCATCTGTTGGCTATTCTTTGCCAGAGTATCTGGTAGGGCTGAGCATGGTCACCAAATCCAATTTGAGGCCCAATCTAGCACTTAAAAGCAGCCCCTATCCAACCTGAAATGATTCAGTGCAACCCAACCTGGATCCAGAGCCTGAACTCAATTGGCAGCTTGGCACAACCTTTAATTAGGGCTTGTGTTATGTACTGAAGTTGTCACCCTGGGCCAGCAGGGGGATACTGTAGATAGTTATGCAAATGAAGGATCGAAAGTGACGTTCAGTGATTGGATAGTTTGTATGCAAATGAAAGATCGAAAGTGACGTTCAGTGATTGGATAGTTTTAGAAAGTTGTTACAGTAACAAGGTACTGGAGCTCTATATAAGCAGGCTGACTGAGGCCTTCAGTTCAGTTCTGTTCTGGCATCTGATTAAAGAAGAGCTGTTTAAAGAATCTCTGTGTCGTCTGATATGTTCACCCACAACTTAACAGTTTGTATGTCTAATTAAGCATGTGGGCAGGAGGGCAACAGGTGAGCAACATAATGGGAGGGGTGTTTCCAGTTACCCCACCCTTTGCTCTTAGAAGCCTTATAAGAAACCCAGGAGAAGGACTGTGAGCAACATCATGGGAGAGGTGTTTCCAGTGGTGGAGCAAACCGATCAAGCGCCTGGGGCAGTGGGCGTGCCCTGCACCCAGGGGCGGAGCCAGCTGCCGGCAGGGATGGGGCCAGCCAGAGCAGAATGCTGTGCGGGGCCTCTGAGGAGTCTGCCTGCCTCCTCCCACTCAGCTGCCCTACAGCTGAGGGGGAGGTGGCGGGCAGACCATTTGGGGCAGTGTGGCACCTGTGGGTGCACTGCAGGCCCCACGGTGAGTGCTGCCCAGCATTTTGTCACCACCCTCAGTGGTGACACCCAGGGCAGACTGCCCCCACCACCCCTCGTTCCTCCACCCCTAGGTGTTTCTAGGACTATGGTGAAACTGTGAAGAAGAAGAAGAAGAAGAAGAAGAAGAAGAAGAAGAAGAAGAAGAAGAAGAAGAAGAAGAAGAGGAGGAGGAGGAGGAGGAGGAGGAGGAGTTTGGATTTGATATCCCGCTTTATCACTAAAAGGAGTCTCAAAGCGGCTAACATTCTCCTTTCCCTTCCTCCCCCACAAAAACACTC